GAAAACAGAAAAAAAGAGGTGAATCCAAAACAATTTTTACTCTTTAAGATACCATTTTTTTTTCCTTTTTTTATATATAAAGTTTAGGATTTATGATTTGTTAGATACATTAAGTTTTAAAAAAAGAGAAAGAAGCTATGACAATGGTTGCTATTTGACCACAAATAGGGCCATACACTCTTACTACTATTCCTTTTTTTATATATAAAGTTTAGGATTTATGATTTGATTGTTAGATACATTAAGTTTTAAAAAAAGATAAAGAAGCTATGACAATGGTTGCTATTTGACCACAAATAGGGCCATACACTCTTACTACTATAACTTCATCGTTATAATAAAGACTGCTTTAAATTTAAAAAAATAAAGTATTTGTATAGAAGAGTTATAAGAAGAAAAGCATATGGCCTTGTAATCCTGGGTTCTCTACAAAGTGTCCCAAATCCTTGAAGTCTACTGATATTCAGAGCATGGCTTGCTTGTTGACAATCCACACAGGACATGCTCTTTTGCCTGCGTCCAGGTGGGAGCTGCCCTCAGCTCCTGCCTAGGACTTGGCGTTTGTCGTAACCTTTGTTATTTCCTACTTATATGTGCTTTTGGTTTAGTTTGCTCTTCTTTTCCTATTTTCTTAAGGTAGAAGTTTACATCACTGATTTGAGATTTTTAATATAGGTGTTTACAAGTATAAATTTTCCTCTAAGCACTGCATGAGTTTTGAGATTTTTAATATAGGTGTTTACAAGTATAAATTTTCCTCTAAGCACTGCATGAGTCCTGCATCCTGTAAATTTTGATAGGTTGTGCTTTGATTTTTATCTCAAAGTACTCTTTAATTCGCCTGTGATTTTTCTTTTTATCCAGTGTTTATTTAGGAAAGTGTTAATTTCCACACATTTGTGAATTTTCTAAATTTCCTTCTGTTATTGTGGTCAGAGAATACATTTTCTATAATCTTAGTCTTTTTAAACATATTAAGACTTTTTTGGCCAAAAAAGAAAAGTGTAACATTTAGGATTTATGATTTGATTATAATTATTTTTATATTATTTTTAATTATTTTTCTAGTTGTGTCTGTAGGACTTACAATATTCACCTAAACTTAACTTAGAATCTGTCTGAGATATTAAATTCCAGTGAGATATAGAAATGCCAGTTCTATTCCTATTTCCTTTCTCTTTTTTGGTGCTGTTGTTATACATATTGAGTCTAAATATGCTACAAATCCAACAATTTATTGTTATAATTATTTTAAAAATTAATCAATAATAAATATTAATAAAGGAGATAGGGCAATCAAAACAAACAAAAAAAAAACCCACACAGGGGAGTTATGAATCCAGAGTGGCCTGTGTCTCCTTGTCTTCTTACACAGGTCCACTGATTCTAACAAAGGGTTGGAAAACGATCCTGGATTTGCATACTGGTTTTCACACACTCATTTACCTAAATCTGCATTCTCATTGTGTGTTCTTGGGAGAAAAGGGTGGTCGCACCTTTGTAAAAAATAATAGAACTACATTTGTTGCTTGCAGATTTACAATGTAGACAGAAAATCCTGAAGAAAATGAAACTTAACATTTCTCATATTTTCCTGATTACAAACACTTTTGTTTTTGTGCAATCTTCATGGGAAATGCTGACCTAGATAAATTAGAGGACAGTAGAAAAAAAGCTTCTTTAGAGTAGTCAAAAAATTGTTCTACTCAGTGAATCAATGATTATAAAATTATAAATTTAAGTTGTGTTCAATGCGCTGCAGAATTTTAATGGGGAGATGATAGTATTTCAACAAGTTGATTAGCTATTTGATTCAGGGAGAAGAGAGGCTGAGTTCTATATAGAGCATATCCACCTTTAAGAACCATCATTCTTTAAAACATTATTTTGAAATAATTCCAGATTTATAGAAAAGCTAGAAAAAGTACAATGGATTTCTATATATCCTTCTCCCAGATTCCCAAAATGTTAACAATTTACCTCATTTTCTTTATCATTCTCCTTCTCTTTCTTTGTATATGTGTGACTATACAACAAACACACACGTTTTCCCCCTGAACTATTTGAGTTAGTGGCTGACATGATATCCTTTTACATCCAAATACTGTGTGCACCGTTAAAAACAAGAATATTCTCTTAACCACAGCACAAATATCAAAATCAAGAAATACTATTATCCCATCTACAGATCTCATTCAAATTTTCCCTGTTGTGTCAATAATGCCCTTTATAACAAAAAAATATATATATATTTTTCCTGGCCCAGGGTCCAATCTGGCATCATTGTTGCATTTGGTTGTCATGTCTCTTTAGTCTCCTTTACTCTGGAACAGTTCTTTAGTCTTTGTTTTTCATGGCTCTATCATTTTTGAAAAATATAGGCCATTTTGCACAAATCCCTCAATTTGGATTTGTCTGATGTTCCATGATTAGATTCAGGTTATCCATTTCCAGCAGGGACCACATCCATGTGTGCCCTTTTCAGGAGGCAATATGATGTCCATTTATCCCGTTACTGGTGATGTTAACTTTGATCACTTAAAGTAGTGTCTGCCAGGTTTTTCTACTGTAAAGTTACATTTTTTTTCTTTGTATCTTACATTCTTTGAGACTATGTAAATATCCTATTTCTCATCAAACTTTTACCCACTAGTTTTAGCATCCATTGATGATCCTCTCCCAAAACAATTAGTACTATGGTTGTTGCCAGGTGGGTGATTTTCTAAATCCAGCATTCCTTTTACATTAGCTGTCATTCTATGATAAAGAAGACCTTTCTCGTCGCCCCACTTATTCATTTATTTCTCTCTGTATGGACTCATGGCTTCTTATTGCATGGGTTATAATTCATTACTATGATAATTTACTTTGACGCTCACATTGTGCCAGACTGGCCGGCAGTATACTCCTCAACTGGCTGAGTCCTTATTCTCCGTCATTCTTTGAGTACTTTCTTACTTTCTAGCAGAGCAAGATATTTTAGGCTCATCTTGTGCCTTCCCTGCACAAGGAAATCAGGAATCAGCTGTTTTTCCAAAAAGCCTGTTTTTCCTTTTTTGTTGTCGTTAAATAGAGATTCAGACACCAAGACATGAGTGCTGGGTATTGCACACAGTTGTTGTGCTGTCACTGCTTCTAGGCCTTCTCAGAGAACAGAGCTAGGAAATATAAGTATGTATGTGTGTTTCTACATTTATAAGTATTTCCATATTTATATGAACCAATATGTATGAAAAAAACCATGATCCATACTGATGCTTCCAATTCCTCCAATACAACAGGAAAAAAACATAATTTTTAACTACTGTCTTGAAACTATACCAAGCACACAGGCTTAAAGTCATTAAATACTTCATGCTGTAGAATAGAAGCTAGAAGATATCCTGGAACTGCATAATGCCAGCCATTTACCCACCCACTCACTAACTCGAAAAATCTACTGGACACTTTCTATGTGTTGGGCATTTGGCTAGGAATATGAAAATGAAAAAGATTTTGTCTCTATCGTCAAGCAGCTCAATCTATTAGAGAGGACAGAAGAAAACAACAACTATGATGAAGTATCATAAGTTCTTTATTCAAAGTATGCACAGTGATCTATGGGAAGACAGGAAGGGGCACTCAGCCCAACCTGAGTAAACTGCATTATTTCAGAGAAGAAGGAAAAATAGGCCACTCATACTACTCATTGGAAGAGATTTTTTGCATGTTTGCACAAAATAGTGTACTTTGCTTCTGAGCATTCTTAGATTTTTTGCATGTTTGCACAAAATAGTGTACTTTGCTTCTGAGCAAAAATACATTTTATGAAGAGCTCTGATTTATCTAGAAGGGTTCTCTGCATTAACTGAATTCATCAAAAAACTGTTCAGCCATGACATACCTATGCTATAAATAAATTCCTAGGACAAAAGGTTATATTTCACTTTTTCTATAGGTTCTTCTCAATAACCGTAAAGGAAGAGGAAAGTATCAGACATTTTCAAACTGCCTATTATCCCACAGTGAATTTTTTCCCTCTTCTTTACAAATTAAATAAACTTGCTTATTTGCCATTGTATTGTTACCCTCTTAGGTAGTAGTTTATGTATACTGACTTTCTCTTATTTAAACTTAATCTTAAACTACAGAGGTTGAGGGAAAGGAAAAAATTGTGTGTATTAGGGTATGTGTTTAGAAAGTAAGGGCTAAGAAAAAAAATAAAATTCAAGGGAGAAAAGTATTAGGGTAAAAAATGATAATGGGATTTTTGTTGTCCTAAACATAAAGCATTATCAAAATTTGCCACCAGTGCTTTTTAAAATTTATAAAAAATAAACATGCGCTATCTCCTGCTTTGTGCTCCCCTGATCAGTATTCCCCAGTTCTAAGTCTGGTGCTCTAATATTGTTTATTTCACCAGTGCGTACATCCAGTACAGAAAGCTGCTCAGTATGTAAGATGACCAGTACTACTGGAGGTTGATCGTCACATGACTGGTCACCATTCCTTCTCCTACAGAATGGTTCTTTAGTATAGCTGACACCACAAAGGTAGAATTGAGACGTGCATATCACCTTTTCTTCATTCCAGGAGACATGACTGAAATATTTAAGAGGTCTTGGATCCTAAAAGATGGACTCCCTATAAAATTATTTTAGCCATGAAATACTCATGATAAGTAATAAATTTCAAATGTTAATAAAGATACTGAAGATTTTTGTTTTGTGTTTTTTTTGTTTTACACTTAAAAAACGGTAATTTCAGGTAAGCCTAAACCCGAGGCAAGGGTAGTTCTGGACTCATGAAAAGTACCATCCACACATTCTTAGCTGCTCTGGGCAAAGAGCACTTGTGATCACCACAGAGGTGGACCAAAGCAAAGGGGCCTAGACTTGTGATAACAGTCCATGCTTTCCACAGAAAGTAAGGGTCATATGTATTGGCTAATGCAAAGAACACTAAGAAAAACAAGCTGCCAGGCAGGCGCTTTGACATAGGTAATGATTAGTGAAAGCGTCTTTGAAAGTGAGAATTTTTAAGTACTTTATTAAACATTATATTCAGTGTAAAGGCATAAACCATCATAATCACCATGATACAATATGTGTGTATATATGCAAAAAATACCCCTTGAACATGCTTTAAGAGGTATAATTGTGTTCTGAAATCTATGTAACATAAAATACAATTTGACATTAAAAAACGACTAATCAGAAGCATGAAAAACAGTACATTTTAATAAGAACCTATTGCTGATTCTGGAATAATTGTTGCATGCATGTCCCTAGTCATGTTGGACTTCTCCTTCAGTTTTGATTGGAGTAACGTGTGCTCTACAACACCGATCCTAATATCCATCTGAATGGTTTCTTGCTTCAGTTTTGTTAAACTCTGTTTAATCTTCACCAAAGGAGCTACAGAATGAAAATAGCATGGAATAAAAATGTTCATTTGGATTTTATCAGTGTATCACAAAATTGTATGAAATTTTCCTCAATTTGTCTTAAGCCAAAAATAGGGTTAAAAACACAGCCTACTGACATTCATACAGTTTTGCTGTGGCATTTTAAACATCTGAGATTTTCAGGAGGGGAAATGAAGTATTGGATGTACTGAGGCTGAACTTTCTCCTTTTTTAGGGTAAGAGCTACTAAAAGATGTTTAAAGATGTGTTCAATATAATTTTATGGGCTGGTATATTTGTAGGAAAAAGAGATACAAAGGAGGAGAAGCGGAAGAGAGAATTACCATGAGATACAGAGAATGGGCCTATTTAAAACTTATTGCAAAAAAAAAAAAAAACCTACAAATCCCCTTTTGAGAGATCACTCAGTATGTATCATTAGAACTCTAGAAAATCTTTCTAGGGCATAGGAAAGCCTTAGGCAATAACCACTGGTCCATGTCAAAGTAACCAACCCACAGTGGAGGATTATTAATTCTCTATTTGGCCCCTGCCCAGTGAGGTCTACTAGAGAGGGGGAAGAAAAAACAAAGGTCACTACATCACTGCCTTAGTGTCATTTGGGCATATAGTTAGTGAGTGTCCTTTTGTACATAAAATGGGAAAATGAAGCTCCTTTGATAAGAACAGAATAAAACATTATTTTTCAAAATTGGCATAACAAAGTACATATTTAAATATTTCCCACTCTATTTTTGAATCAATACACTCTGAGTAAAAAAAAAAAAAACCTAAATTATAGTAAACAACCCTTCTCAGCAGATTTATAAGGATAACAGTACGCTGATTATCAGAAATCATTTTTGCACCATGTATCTCTTTTCAAACAAATAAAAAATAGTTCATTTTAAAAAGGAGATACTCTATTTATCAATACTACTTTGTTAAGTAGGTTTTTTGAAGAGCTATTTTTCTCTTGCTCACTTTTTCTCCTTAAAATGAGAGTGTACTTACCACCATCAGTCATGCTGCTGCCCTTTTCTTCCATTTCTTGTTTTACCTTATCTAATTCTTCTGTAACCTTTCATTGGAAAAAAGTTTTCAAGAACACTAAATTTTAATAGACTTCCAAAATTTTTGAATGATGTCTTGAGAAAAATTAATTTATATATTAATATAAAGGGAAATAAAGATATTAGGAATATTTTGGACATAATTCAAATAATAAGATAAAGAATGCAGAGATATATAAACTTTTTTCTTCTGAGAATTCTCCTAAATTTAAACTTCAACAAATTACTTTCACACATTAGCTTTCTCAGGTTACATGCAACATGTTGGAATAAAAACAATCAAAGTTGTTCTAGGCACTAGGCACTCAAACCCTACAATTATCACATAGCATCTACCATGACATTCTCTAACAATCAGTTATTAATTAAAATAGTATAAATATCCTAAGGAGATTTTGGATTTCTAAAGATTTTCTAGGTATCTTTCTTAATATTATAGTTTTATGAGAGATTATATAACCTTTCCTCTATAGGACACAGACAAAAATATTTATATCATATGGCTGTATATAAAAATGTTCTACTGCTCTATCCAAACTATGAATTCCAAACTCCAAGAGGCATACCGTGCTGTCATATTTGCTTAGATCTACGCTTTATGTTGAGATAATACTACTATAGCTTCTATTAGCAAAAGTCCAAATTGGCATTAATATAGGCGGAAAATACCATCTTTAAAAATTTTTTTAAATGTTATATGATCTAGAACTAAGCCATAATTATTGTAACTATGTAGGCTTTATTTTAGATCTACGCTCTATGTTGAGATAATACTACTATAGCTTCTATTAGCAAAAGTCCAAATTGGCATTAATATAGGCGGAAAATACCATCTTTAAAATTTTTTTTAAATGTTATATGATCTAGAACTAAGCCATAATTATTGTAACTATGTAGGCTTTATTTTTATCATACTGGTAAGTAAAATCTTCCTTGGGAATAAAGTGCTCATCTAAGTAAAACAAATTAATTTTTTTCAGGCACCTGAAATGTTACAACTGGGGATAACTACCTACTCCAAAAGAACTAGATGGTTCCCTGTACTCCCTTCAAGTGTTAATTTACCTAACATAAGCATGCACTTTACTTCTACATTTTATTTGCGTAGAAGCACCATAGGATTACAGTCTAAATATTTCTAATGTTTTATTTTTAGTATTGTAAAATATCTGTTTATTCTTCATATAATATCTATAAAAGAAACTTAATTCTTTACTGTCAAAACAGTGAAGCTTGGGATAATTATACTGGATTGTAACCAAAGATAATCTTGAATTTCAGTCCCAAATTGGCTACTGACCTGGTTATAAGGTTTTCTCCTCTCAGCTCTTCAGTGAAAAGTGGGAATATAGATCAGGTCTTACCTCTCTTGCAAGATCATGAAAATAAATGTAACAATATGTGCAAATATTCTAGAAGTTCTCTGAAGGAAGAGGTTATAAGCCACTCTCAATTGAGAACAGATAAATACCCAGGATAACACACAAGTTATCAATAATAATCACTAAAAATAAATCTTTATCTTGCAGACTAACATTATAACTTGTTATAGACTCCTAATTCAGTGCTTTACCTACTCTTCTATATGTTAAATATAATTATTATTTTTTTAAAAAGGAAAAGATTAAGGAAGTTTATAAGGATGCTAATATTATGATCAGATTATATGCTGAATTTAATACAGCAACTTCAGGCATCCTATTAAAATAAGAAATGTGTAAGTAAATAACTGATTCACTGATAAGAAAATTAGGGATTTTCTCCTAAAGAAAATGACTTAAAACCACAGGAAGAGATTATTAAAATAAGCAGTATTAAACCATCCACTGGCTCTGAATGGCTGGAGCCCAGCTGACAGGTGAGAAGCACAGCAGGAGCCCAGTGTGTACCTCAGACAGGAGTCTGGTCCTTTCAGTTACTCCTCCATTTCCCTGCTGGTATCGCTCCCTTGCCTAAGGGGGAAAACATTTTGTTTTAAGGACAAATTTAAAACAGAAGCAGATTACTTAAATGTGACCTCTTTGTGCTTGCAATTTCTGCATATTATTTTATGACAACCCCCCTCCTTATTTGTGAATACATTTGTGAAAGTGACATTTAACTGTAGCTATTTTATGTCCCTAATAGGCACCATGTATTTAACTAGAGCACTATAAAATGATGAACTACCTTAACCTTCACATACTGACTGTGTAACTTGCATGGGACATGGTTCACAATAAAAACTGTCCTCAGCCATTCCTAAATAGTTTAGGAGACTGGCTCTTGGTCAATTTAATTTGCATGCTATGAAGAGAAAATCAGTCCTAAAAAAAGAAAAAAAAAAGTAGAGCATCAGGCTCAGCTATTAATAAGGATTAACAAACAGTATGACAGTACAATCAACTAGAACATGTTCTTAGAAACTAATCTAACAATTAGTTAATATTAGTGTTAGATATGGTTGTTTTAATCAGATAATTTTATACCATTTTTAAGTAAAAAGATTCATGAATAGATGTGTATATGAGGGAATAGTGAATTAAACAAATAATATAACAAAAAAGTAAAGATTACTATTTAGTCTTTGAGAACTTCTGAAAGTACAGAAGTATCTCAAATTTATTTCCACTTTTCTCTTCTTTGAACCTCGTGTGCTGAAAGTAAAAAAAAAATATGTCTTCAACTAATGTTTATAAGTGTTCTTACTAGTCTTCCTTAACTTCAGGAAATAGGGGGCAAAAATCTCAAAAGAAAGCCTTTAGATACCTACTGCTGAAACAAAGAATTGCTGCTTTTAAATGCTAGTGATTTTATTTTTTGGTTAAAATTCTAAAACTTCGAAAGAATGAAAAATTTGTCTCATTTCATTAATTAAACTGCTTGTCTCTGAATGTATCTTGCTTTCATGTTCCTTATTGTGTGGTTGTAAGAAGCATAGCAAGGTCTGTCTTTTCCCTCTGACACATGTAAATGCATATTATTCTTCCTCCTACTCCTGTGGTAAATTAACAACAGACTTGGAAACAAAATCAGGTGTCCTGACACTTCGTTCCTGTTCTAAGCCATGTTCCCCAACAATATATAATTTCATTTTTTAAGATTAAATGAAGAAGTGCATTTAAAGACTTGTAGGAGATAATTTCTATTACATGTCAAATGGAGATAAGTTCTAGTGCCTTAGTTGGCTTCCTAAAGGGGGTAGAGAATCAATGTGTTGCTGTTTGTGAAAAGCATTTCATGAGTCTCAAATGAGAAGTGTGTCAAGTTTAGGGATTAGGGTCATGAATTGCAATAAATCCCTGGAAATCATTCTTAAATTACCTCACTCAGCTGGGCTTGAGCTGCACGATATTCTCGAACCAAGTTCTCAAGCTGATTGTTAATGTACTTTTCTCGGCTGCCAATCTTTTCCAGAGTCCTGCCAATTTCATTATGGAGTTTGTCCAAAAATCCCTAGAAATTCCATGGGACTTTAGTAGATAAAATAACTCACAAATTTATTTTTCCAAAGATATTTAAAAATGGGTTAAATCACCCTCAATCCATTTCTCAAATGATCAACCACATGTGAAAAGGAGACAGTTTGAAATTTTCAAAAGCAAAAGAAGTCTGTGGTAAGAAATATTTTAGTCACACTTTGCAGAATGTTAAAATAAAAAATGCACCTGGTAGTATTAGTCAATTCATTTGTCCCTATGTAAATCTAAAATTTATGTGATTATAATTAGCTTTATATAAAGTTCACAATCATAGTAGGTAAGGGACTTATTTCCATAGCACAATTCAGAGATGACTGGAGTATTCCAGTTGGAATTAGATCCCTAAACTTATTGCTCTAGCTGAGACCCTTAACATTTCACTCTAATTTTGCATCTTTGTGTCATCCTCCAGATGTCCCTGTTTCTATCAGGACAGGAAGCCTGGGGAAGCTACAGGTTCTGGGAATTGCTGGCCTTGTGTTCTCTCATACTATGGGATTCAGTGAGGAAAAAATGATGAAATGCTTCTCTAATATGTATATTGGATGTATGTGTTTGATATATGTATTATATTTGTATACATAATATATACAGCTTTTATAAATAAAAATATAAAAATTATATTTAATTTATAAATTAGTTTCTTTAGTTGGTTTAAATGCTAGGACTGTTGAAATGTAATATGGTACATTCAATTAGTAAGCTCCTGAAGGGCAAAGAATGTGGTTTTTTTTTTTTCTTTCATGTTCTCCCACAATAGGTGTTGCACTGATGAATCAATGTATATTGATTCATCTGAAGTAATTCACATACCTTGGTCTCTTTTAGAGCAGACTCAATTCCACTTTTGTGCTGGTGCATTTGGTCAACATGGATTCTCCAATCCTGCAAGCATGAGAGCACATAGAAACAATGAAAAATGTAATGCATTTCCTTCTTTCCTCTACTTGCTGTGAAGTAGTGTCCTTTTTTCTTAATTACTTAGGTTGCAGCCCTGTTTAAGGTGGGAGAGTCCTATATATAGCTTGCAATCAGATTATAAAGAAATATGTGTACAGCACTTGAGGATAAAAGGTTCCAAATAAATGTAAATTATTTTATGTGTTCACAGAGTGAATGTCTGACAATTTGAATATAAATTATTCCTGCACTGCTGGTGGTTAATATTTATGACTACCCAGCAAAGTGAAAAAAAAATAATTCTAATTACTAGAAATGAAATACTTGTTTAAGCAGCAACAATTATGTTTGCAGAAGCAACTCTAGACTCAAATATCATATGTCAAAGATTAGTTTGTCCCATGGAAATTAAAATGGTGTCCTCTTATTCAGTAAAACTTCTGAGTCTCTTTCTTAATAAGTCCATAATAAATACTAGAATTCATATATTTTGAAATACTGCCTACTACTAGATTGATCTAAATTAGTGTGTATATTTGAAATCTACACCAACATTTGAATTTCCTACAAGATATCTTCAAAATATTTCAGTTTATATTACAAGTAACAATTTTAAAAGACTTGAGACATACCCATAAGAAAAAAATAATATGGTAAGTTGAAGCAAGCGATGGAACCAGGATATTTCTAAATCACGCATATCCATTTGTATACCCTGCTGCACCACTTCACTATCAACACCATTTTGTGAAGAGAAAAATATTTTGTGAATAGTCCCATTTTGCCTATTTCTTAACTTTGAAACAGCTAGTAACTACAGGGTAAAAATATTCTTGGGCACTTCAAACACACCAATTATAAAATTATAATATATTAAAACTGCCAAGAACCTTAAACAGCATCTAGTGTCGACTTTGTCATTTCATAGATAAGCAAACAGAGGTCTGGTGACAGAAAGGGCCACACCCAGCGCCACAGAGGTAGTGGTGTACCTTGATCAGAAGTCAAATGTGCTAATTCCCACACAACACATACTGGCAGTTCAGAAGGGAAACTGGCTACTTGACACTAGTGATGGTGCTGGAGCAGAGAAGAAATTAGCACTTTCCTTTATCCTTAAGCATTTTTGTCTCATTAGCAAAGAGTATCTCAGAATATGAGAGCTGGAAGGGACCTGAGAGATCATCTACTCATCCATATAACAATCATCTAGTGCAATGTTTTCGTTTTACAGTTAAAGAGACTGTTCACCACCCGTGACTACGACTAGACAGATCTGGCAAGAGAAGGAAGCCCCTCCAGCTCAGCCGGTCAACACTGAACAGGAAGGAGGAGCAACTAGCTGGCCTCCTGCAACTGGACCAAATATCGTTAAGCCTCAAAACAAAAACCTATTTAAGCCCAAGTAAGCATCTTTATGAAATAAAATGAACCTAACAAGTATCATTACATTATTAATTTTTTGAAAAAATATTCATCTTGCCTGGTTCCAAGAATTTCAGAGGGCTTAATAAACACCAAGCTTAAATATTTACATATCTTCCCTTTCTTCCTATCAGTTTCTGTTTGTCTTTGCCTCTGTTTTTCTCCATATATATGTATGTAAATACACACATATAAAATATGCATAAATTTATATATATATATATATATATTTTATTTACAATAATGGATGTGTTTAACATAGTTTGTGTTGTGCTTTTTCTACCCAGCATTATTTATAAATATATTTTTGCATGTATGGATATTTAAAACATTTTGAGAGAAGCAACAATGCCTGACTCATCTATGTATAACACTGATAACTTACATTGGTATAAAACTCCATGGAGGAGCTGATATTTCTGTGGAACCCTGAAACATGAGTAGCATTTCAACAGACTGGAAAGAAGGGGGAGAGGAAGGATATTTTAGTTTGAGGGAGTAAAATGAACAAGGAAAATACACAGATAACAAGTAGCCTAGGCTGGCTATTGTATAAGTATAAAACACAAAGTTCTTGGGGTAGGGGATGGATCATGAGAAAATAAAGTAGATTAAATTAGATCAATGGCTTTGCCTATAACAACTAATGAGTGTGAATTTTATCATGTGGATAATGAGCAGCTATCACGCACTTTTGGTTTTGTTTTAAAGACAAACGTGTTTTGAGAGAGTAACAGAATGAAGGACTGATTAGCAAGGTAAGAGACTAAAGACTGAAGACTAGTTAGGAGGCTGTGTAATGGTCCACATTAAAAAGACTAGCAGGGTTTGAGTCAGAGCAATGCTGTAAGAATGGAAGGGAAGGGATGGATTCAAGGGGCACTGTAGAGGCAGAACTAGCAGGACTTGAAGACTGACTGAGGGGAGGTGTGAGTGTGGGGCAGGTGAAGTCAAGGTATAGAAGTAGAGAGAAGGTGTCTTTAAGGTTTCTAGCCTGAGGAACTGAAGAGACAGGAATACCACAGATTTCAGGGATGACAGAAATACTGAGAATTTGGTTTTGGATTCGTTGAATTTGATAATCCACTGGAACATTTGTGTATTCTTATAGTCCATTAAAATGAAAAGCTAGTAATGGTTTATAATTATCTGCTAGGCAAATTTGAATATTTGTTTTATTAAAATCTTCTAGATGGACATATTTCCTGATGCAGTTATAAAAACAAGCCTTAAAAGTGTTCTTGCTCTTTAACCTAGCAATTTCACCTCTACAAATTATTCCCAAGGAAATAATTGGGAATACATACAAAGACTAACGTACAAGTTCTTTGTTAAAGTAAAACAGCAGAAAACACTCTAAATATCTAGCAGTAGAGGACAATTTAAACTAATTTTGTAATATTCATTCCACTACTAAAAATAAAGGTCAAAATCAAGCAAAAGCTCAATGATACATTGTTTGGAGACACACATATGTGAAAACAGTAATAATAAAAAAAAGAAGCTTGTGAGAGTACAGGAACTTGAGGATAGTGGTTACTGTGGGTGGGAAGGGGCGGCAGCAGGGCAGCACACAGGTAACTTCAAGGGTGCTGTAATGGTCTAGTTCTCAAATTGAGTAGTGGGTTTGTTTTATTATTGAGCTTCATAATTGTATGTATATTACATATTACATACATGAATATTATATTTTAAAATATTAAATTCATGTTCTCAAAAATATTTAATGACCAGCAAAATGCACAGTGACAGCATATAGTAAAATGGAAAATACAGTCTCAAAAGAGTATATTCATTAGGTATTCAATTTAGTAAAAATTAGTATTTGTGTATATTTGAATGTGCATGTGTGTGTGTGTGTGTGTGTGTGTGTGTATAAAGACAGAGATTTGAATATGGGTGCCTTTAAATGTTTTCTTTATCCTTACAAAATTTTTCAAATTTCCTACAGGAAATTTTATCATCTTAATTATCAAGGAAAAGAAAAGGCAAAAACCTTCTAGATGCCCAAGAAATTCTTGAAAGAGGTTTAATAGCATTATAGAAGAAAATAAATATGAATAATTATAATTGTGGCATTTTAAAAACATGAATATAAAAAGGCAAAATACATAGCTTTTGAAATACTACAACTGAGATAGTTAAAAGCTTTACAAAGGTTTGTGGAAGAATGGAGAAAAAGTGATGGGTTTTAATATGTAAGGACTTCTACTTGGATCCCTGAAATAAGTAACATTAAAAGGTACTATTCATAGATGATAGCAGTTCTTACATTAGTAGAGAATCTATTAGTTTACAATGCACTTTTATATAACTTTCCTTATTTGAGACTCACGAAGGTATGGAGATAGATAGATATTGGCATCCCTTCTTATTCACTTCTGCTTTCTCTGTAAGCGGGTTATGAGATCTGCTGGCTGGCTGTGGGAGGAGTATACTTCCCTGCTCCACTGATGCTGGCCACAGCTATGTGATTCTCCTTAGTCAGTGGAATGATGGTCCACCCAGCACTGTGCAGAAGCTGAAAGAGGCATCCAGCCACCAGCTCTCTTGCCCTTTCTCTCAGCCATGATAATGAGTGTGCCCCACATAGGGGCTCTCCTTTCAGCCTGGGTCTGGGAGTAAGAAACATGGAACCCAGGTGGATTAGAGCTGCAGCTGAGCCACACATCAGCAAACGTGTATTCTGAGTGAGAATAAATGTGTTACTGTTATGGCAAGCCACTGTGACCTGGGGGCTGTTATGCTGAAAAACTGATTACATATACATAGTTTATAGTGAGAAAAATGAAGAATCAGATAGGCTAAATGACATTTCCAAAGTTTCATGTCTGGAAAATGGAAAGCACTCCCAAACCAGTACATTTTCCACATATTGTATGGTGCTTTTCTTTGTGATAAAATGAACTACTAAAGCATTTATAAGGCAAACTGCGAATTCTTTTATATATCAAGTGAGAACATGTGGGCTCCTAAGGTCTGCTGGTCACCTAATCCAAAGTGCTCTAAAGTGTCTTCATTAACAATCATTTCTCCTCTCTATTAGAGGTGTTTCACCTAATCTTGCATAGTTTTTCTCTCAATGGAATTGAGAAGACTAATAATGATACAGTGTATCATTTCTTTAGACCTTCTAAACCAAAATCCTCTCATTCAAAATCTCATGTATGATTCTATCACTGATGAGGTAAATAGCAAAGGTATTGTTTGACCATAAACCCCCTCTCCACTCCAAATTTGTTAGCACTAAATTATGTTATATATCTCCCTTTTACAGAAACTGGAGAACTGTAATGAAGTATCTGCAGATGGTGATTCACAGCATACCATAAAATCAAAATGTATGACATCTAGTTGCAGCTATTCAGGTGACGGGCAAGATTATATGGATATCTGGGTTTTACTTCAACAGAACAACACCTGAAAGACTTCCTTTGCATATGAAGACACATTTTGTTTCTTCTTCTGGATCTCCAACTCAATTCTTAAAGCTTCTCTCTGAAACTGCACAGGAAAAAGACTAAATTATGAGCTAGGGATGGTAAATGGAACTTATATCT